TCTTAAATCAGCCAATGATATGTAATTTATCATGCTGTCATACACTATTGTCTTAAGGGATGGGAGCTGAAGCTCGACGAGAATCCAATGTTTACGTTCCAAAACAGGGATAAACACCTGCAATCATAAGTAATAATTCATTCATTTGCGCACTTATTTCATAAAACCTTTAAACTCAATCTAAATAAATACTAACCTTATCGACCTCCCACCATGCAGGATAAAGTTTAGCTTGTCCATTGCCCAAATCAAATGATTCATCTCGTGCATTCTTCAAGTGAACGGCGTGAAAAGACGTCGGCATTATTGTATATCGTATATTTTTATTTTTCTTAAGTTTTCTTATTATTAGAAGACGTGTCACCCACGCATCGATATGCTGTTTTACAAAAAAGACATATATTAGTGACTTACATAAATTTAAAAAAAAATTAATCAAATTGAAATATAAGAAAAATATAAGACTTACCCCCCCATCGAAATAGCCATTGTCTTCGACCCCTAATAATACGCCCCACCAAGGCCGTTCAAGCAACAAAAAGATATCATCGGTGAGCTTGCATATGTCAGTGAAACACCCCTTGCTCCGCTCATGTAGATAAAATCAACTGCGGTCTTAGCCCAAAGGGTGTTATCCAAAATTGTGTCCGGTAGTTGTTCCCTCTCCTCTTCAGATACCGGTATGGTACTGGCCGGTAACTCATACGAGAGCCAACTTGAATCCATCATGTCCGGCACGACAGAGGGTTTCTCAAGAAGCCTACATATGACGCCATGTGAATCGGGCTCTTGAATGGTGGGAGGGACCTCTTCAATGATGACAGTGGCCTCTTGAACGGTGGGAGGGGACTCTCGAGGAATGATATGGGGGGCCTCTTCAACGATAGGAGTGGACTCTTGAGGGATGACAGGCGAGTCGGGCTTCTTCTTGCGGTGTCTTCGCACTATTGGGGTGTACGGAGACTTAATAGCACGTGCACGCTGTCTGATGCGTGAACTCCGTCGTGCAAGCATAACCCGACGTAAAGCATCCACTCTATCGGGCCGCTAAATAATTAAATACAAAAATTAGTAAATAAACAGACATGATATTTAAACAGTGAAAACAAAGACAAATATGTTTCAAACTTGCATTGTATTCACCCAAGTCATTATTCTATCATAGTTCACAAAATGCATCAGATAACAAAGAAAAATATGTTTCAAACTAATACCCTGAAGTTAGTATTTGTCTTTGTTTTGTCTATTGGTTGAAGTAATGCAATCCATTCAAGTTTCAATTTGCAGAAGAAGAAATAGTTTACTTTCGCAACACGAAACTTAAAATCGCAACGCGAAACCAAAATCGCAACGCGAAATGAAAATCGCAACGACAGAATCGCAATGCGAAATGAAAATCGCAACGAAAGAATCGCAACGCGAAATGAAAATCGCAATGCGATTTTGGTTTCGCGTTGCGATCTTGTCGTTGCGATTTTGGTTTCGCGTTGCGATTCTGTCGTTGCGATTTTCATTTCGCGTTGCGATTTTGGTTTCGCGTTGCGATTTTAAGTTTCGTGTTGCGAAAGTAAACTATTTCTTCTTCTGCAAATTGAAACTTGAATGGATAAATTTACTTTCAACCAAAAGACAAAACAAAGACAAATACTATTTCACAGTGTTAAAGAATACACAGTTTAGCAGAATTGGCAGCAACCGAACAAATTTACTTTCAACCAAAAGACAAAACAAAGACAAATATATTTCACAGTGTTAAAGAATACACAGTTTAGCAGAATTGGCAGCAACCGAACAAATTTACTTTCAACCAAAAGACAAACAAAGACAAATACTATTTCACAGTGTTAAAGAATACACAGTTTAGCAGAATTGGCAGCAACCGAACAAATTTACTTTCAACCAAAAGACAAAACAAAGACAAATATATTTCACAGTGTTAAAGAATATACAGTTTAGCAGAATTGGCAGCAACCGAACAAATTTACTTTCAACCAAAAGACAAAACAAAGACAAATACTATTTCACAGTGTTAAAGAATACACAGTTTAGCAGAATTGGCAGCAACCGAATAAATTTACTAAGCAATCTAAGTGAAATGGCTAATCTAAGTGAAATTACGAGTAAATTTATCATTAAGTTAAATATGGAAAATCTTAAACTTACCTCGTTGCGTAGAGTATGAACCTCATTCTGCAACGATACTATCATCTCACGTAGAGCGGCAACCTCACCACGTAAAGTTGACACCTCCACACGCCATGCACCATCGTTATCGCGTAGAATACCGATCTCCTCACGCAAGGCATTGACCTCATCACGTAACTCCCTTGACTCATCCCGTTGAGGTGGAGGTGGAGAACAGGGAGATAGGAGTCGTGGCATCTTTGCCGGTCGCCTATCATGAGGTGATGGTGGAGAAGAGGCTCGATGATGTGACGGGATAGGTGATGGCTCTCGTTCTAGAGATGTATAGTCGGGTCGATCGGGTGATGGCTCTAGGTGAGGTGATGGCTCTCGAATTGGAGGAAGTGGATGCTGCTCATCATCCGTGCCATCAAAAAAATTCTGACTAGCTTGCCACCAATCAGTGGCAAGCTCTTCCTCGTGGGTGTCAGTCTTTGTAATGGAATGTTGGCCTCCTAAAATATAAAAACTCAAACAAAGTTAAACGTCTACTATTAATAACTTGTTATATATTATATGAAAGTATTTGTGTTAACTTACATTATTTATTGTGGCATATGGTATTAAGTCTTCCCAATCCAACAGAGTTTTCCTCTTCCAGGAAATAGCCCTGGGAATATCATTTGACGTTTTTATTGCATATGTACGCATGCTGGGGAAAGCCTCGAATATCCAAATCTACAAACAATATAATAACAAAATTAGTAATTGTTAAATAATTAATTATAATTTTAGAAACATTATATAGAAATTCTTACCTTAAAGGCCCAAACAAAGCCTGACAAAGTGTATTTGGACCCATCGCCCCGCAAACTTTTGCGGTCATCAAAGGCAGACGACAACTTAGTCCAGGTAGCTTTCCATATATACGAACCCCACGGAAACAGATTCCATGCATTCAGGTCCTCTACCAATATTATTAGCTCCCGATGAATAGGTTGTCTGGCCTCTCTGCCTAAAAAGCCGGCATACACAAGTAGTAGAAGGCATACTCGGACAACATCGACGTCTTCCATCCGAGTGAAACCAGCTTTCTTATTAAATAATTTCTTCAGGTCGTCGACATGTAGGTTCGGCTTCTCCATTGACTCATCCGGAAAAACCCGGGATAACCATGATGGGCGGGCGATATGACGAGTGTACCGGCCTACATCATCGTGTCCGAATCGTAGACCAGTGATTAAGCAGAACTCCTTCCGCCCAAAGCAAGTATACGCTGGTGGAAAATGAAACCATATCTCTTCCTCACCACGTTGTATACTGTCGGGTAGATTTGATGTCATGGTCTGAAGCCACAAATGGGTCAAATTAGCATCTCCACCCGGATGCTGTACTCTCAGCCATGGCCCGAAGCAGGTTTCCTCAAACAATTGTCTTTGAGCAGGTGAAAGCTTCTTTGCAATTGTAGTGTCCAGGCTGACTTTATTTCTCAAGGTCAATTGAGCCGAAAAAAATTTCTACAAAAACAATAACATACCAAGTTAGATATACCAAAAACTACACTGTGAAGATATACCAAAAACAATAAACATAAAAAGTAGTAGTTTATTCTTGAAACTAAAATTTGCAACACTGTTTTGTCTTTTGGTTGAAATGAAAATCGCAACGAGAGAATCGCAACGCGAGATGACAATCGCAACGAGAGAATCGCAACGCGAAATGAAAATCGCAACGAGAGAATCGCAACGCGAAATGAAAATCGCAATGCGATTTTGGTTTCGCGTTGCGATTCTCTCGTTGCGATTTTCATTTCGCGTTGCGATTCTCTCGTTGCGACAGTCATTCTCTCGTTGCGATTTTCATTTATCTCGTTGCGACTCTTCTGCAAATTGAAACTTGAATGGATTGCATTACTTCAACCAAAAGACAGAACAAAGACAAAGACAAATACTAACTTGAAAATCGCAACGAGAGAATAGCAACGCGAAATGAAAATCGCAACGACAGAATCGTAACGCGAAATGAAATCTAAGTGAAATGGTTAATCTATTATTGAAATGACCAGTAAACTTATCATCAGTTTCAATATGAAAAACCTACAATAATGCAAACATTTCAAAATAAAAATAATTAAAAAAACTAACCCTCGGAGGTTGATTTTCCATTTCTGAATATTGTGAGGGATTTCTGACCGTGAATGGTTGTGAGGGATTTCGCCGGAGATGGGGACGGAAATCTTCGGAGATGGGGACGGATTTCTTCGCCGTAGAGAGTGAGAGATGGAGATGGGACTGAGTTGTGATTTTAGGTTTTAGGTTATGAATTACGGGATAATACGCGTAGCGATTATAATGGCGCTTTAAATATCGCGTTGCGATTTACGGATACGCGTTGCGATTTTATGTATTATCGTTGCGATTTACGGATACGCGTTGCGATATACGGATACGCATTGCGATTTACCCATACGCGTTGCGATTTACGGATACACGTTGCGATTTACGGATACGCGTTGCGATTTATGTGTTCGCGTTGCGATTTTCATATTCGCGTTGCGATTATGGAAAATCGCAATGCGAATTTGTACTATCGCATCGCGATTTTCAAGAATCGCGTTGCGATTTTGGAAACTGATTTGCGATTCTGGAAACTGATTTGCGATTCTGGGGATCGCGTTGCGATTTTTATTTCGCGTTGCGATTTTGTTGGTCATTTTGGCAAATCCAAAAAAAATTGGTTAAAATCGTATATTATAACTTTTTTTTGGTCACTGAGGCGATTTTCTCTAAATTTAAATCTTGAATTTGAGGAATAAATACGGAAATAGATGAAAATGAAAGTCAGCTTCATTAAACTTATAGTCCATAGAATCTAGTAAGCCGCGAATAGACCCGACTTTACCGCGTTCCGGATCACCCAATCCCCAAATCTAGCTCCGAATCTCCGCCATGGACTTCCACCGCAACCCTTCCACAAACTCCCCCTCATCCTCCACCTCCTCCACTTCCTCCTCCATCGTCCACCACCAACCTCCTCCCTCCACAGCCGCCACCGACAACGATCCGATGCACTCTTGGTGGGAATCCGTCTCCAAACAACGTTCCCGCATCCTATCCCTCGCCGCTCTCCTCCCTTCTGGGGGAGGCATCGTTTCTTCCTTGGCCGATTCCGATCGTCCCGCCGTTTCTCTCCTCTCGTCTCCCTCGGTTTGTTCTCTGATTTCCTCGGCCCTTTCTTCTGCTACCTCCGGTTCCGGATCCGACCTTCTCTGCCAATGGCTCTACGAAACTTTCCAATCCACCGATCCTCATCTCCGTCTTCTCGTCCTCTCTTTTATACCTCTTCTCTCCGGAACCTACCTTTCCCGTATCCACTCATCGGATTCTTCTTCTCTGCCGTCGCTAGCCGGATTCGAAGCTGTTCTCCTCGCCGTTTACGCTTCCGAAGCTAAATCCCGTGCCGGAAAACCACTTCTCGTCCAAATTCCAGACCTCTCCCAACCATCTCTTTACCACACTCCTCGTTACAAGTCCATTGACGACAGATCTGGACAATCCGTCGGCGTTTTATCACCTCCACTCGAGCCACATTTAGAAGTTAAGTCGACTAAGCGAGCTATCATCGTTGGAACGGTGTTCGATTGTTATTACAAGCAAGTTTCTCAAATGCCGGCTTGGTCTAAACTGGATTTCTGCAAATTTGCCGTCGCTTGGGGCGGGCAAGATTGTCCTTGCAAGACAAAATTCGACCGGGATGACAATGATCACCGTGAAAACGTTAATGCAAACAGTAACGGTTACGATCAAGTTTGTAGAGAGGATTCTGGTTTTAGCAACGGAACAAGAAGCCGCGACGGTGATGAAGCGGACTACGAGGATGATGTGATCAAGGAAGTGGTGGTGGTGGAGATGAACAATTTGGGGATTAATGGCAATGTTGAGAATTTGGAGGCAAAGGGTGTGAGGATCCCGTTACCTTGGGAACTTTTAAGGCCGGTGGTGACGATTTTAGGGCATTGTTTGTTTGGTCCGTTGAATTCCCAAGAGGTGAAGGACGCCGCCTCCGTCACAGTTAGGTGTTTATATGCGAGGGCCTCTCATGATTTGGCGCCACGAGCAATCTTGGCTTTGCAGAGTCTTATAAGGCTTGATAAGAGTGCAAGAGCAGCTGCAATGAGGGCAACCGATACGACTTCCAATGCTAACACACCTAGCAAGGCTAAGAAGCCGGAAATCCTATTGGTTTCCAAGTGATTTCATGGTTTTGCTTGTGCAGGTAATGGATGTGTGCATATTTAAGCTCGGGTATCTTTGTGTAGGATTATTTACACACTATGTGGAAAATCAATTTTACAACTACTAGTTTAGTATCATTATCATCCTCGAAATTGTATTGACCCTGCCTTCTCCTAGATTGTGTTTAGTAATTTTTTATCGTTTGTGAGGTCGAATTTGATTCTTGTGGATTTATGATTGCATAAGATGTGTGGAATTTTTTTAATCCTTTTGTATTAAGGATTCAAGGCTTCTGTTTTTTCTTTGAAACATTTTTTTATAGCTATACTATACAATTCCCTTCATCGAACTTGGGGTCACTCTTTTTGGTCAAGATTATAGCTTTGAACACTGCATTTGTTATACTAATTGTTAAGAAACTCTGTACCTGTTGAGTTGGCAGTTCTGACTTCCGAGTAGGCTGGCTATTGTTGTGCTAGTCACTCCAAGTTCGTTATATTTGCATTGTTGACATACCTAGATTATATAGCTCATGACTGATGATTTGAACACTGCATACGTTATACTAGTTTTTAAGAAACTCCGTGTCTGATGAATTGGCTGCTCCAAGTAGGCGGGATATTGTTATGCTGAGTCTCTCCAAGTTCTTTATATATGCATTGTTGCCATACCTAGAGATTTAACGCTCTTGCAGTTTAGCACTAAATCTGTGCTCTGAGGTTACTTGACTTGTTCATAATAATATTACACTATAGAGATCTAATGCATGGTATTTGGATATGAATCCTTTGATGAACAAGAACGATTGAGATTTCGGCTAGGATATATATTATCTCGTCGGCATATATCATGTTCCTTACTAGCAAATGACCAAGAGATGGCCTCGATTTTCTTTTTGTGTGGTTCACTATCAAATCATTGCAAGTTAATGACTGGATTCATATTATTCAGCGGATCATGTATAATATGAAATAGGGAAACTTAATGTTTATTTTTGTTCTCTAATTTGTTCTATTCGCATTCTCCTATAGCACTATAGGAATCTATGCACTATGAACAGGTTATGGACCGTTTGATTAAAGTCACGACGCTGTTCGACCGGAGGATGTTATAGGTTTAGGATATTGTCCAATGAAATGTTGAAAGATATAGTATTGACATAAAAATCATTTTCATTGAACTTTTTTCTCAATTCTATTTTGAAGGGATGGCAACGGATCAGACCAAGGTCGGATTTTTGGTTAACCCGACCCGACCCAAAATAGGTATTCTCCACCCGAATCTGATCCAACCCGATTAGAAAATATATATCATCCAACATTATCCTCGGGTCGAGTCGGAGTTTTTTCACCCTTCATCCCGACCTGACCTGACCTCACCACTTAAAATTCTGACCCGAATTAAAAAAATCCCACCTGCCCGTCGGATTAGGATTAAATTGTCATCCTTAATTTTGATTAGTAAAGTATAAAATTTTCAATTTATTCATTGAACTTTTGATTTGTAAATATTTTAGTCATTCTATCTTTATGATTTGACATTTATCTTTTCAAAATTATGAAACAGTCCTAAAATTTTCTTTCTTTATTTTTTTTTGAAAATTTTTTAGTTTTCATTTTCTTTTTTATTTCTTGATAATGAATCATCCTTTAAGTCTTAACAGCGGGGAGGTGGTGGATTTATTTTATGAAAAATCTCAGAGTTCTTTAAAATGAACTTTTCAAGTCCTGATTTGTCATGTGATTTATCATTTCAATGTAATAAAAATTTTAACAGTCCAATAAACATATTAAAAAACTAGAAGCAATTTGGCCATCTTTTGAAAATTGAGGGCTGTAGTGAAAAGAAAAAAGTCCAAATGGAAAAATTATAACCAAATCAACAATTTGTTTGAGTCTATTCAATTCCGCTATGTCCTTCATCGAACATATTTGTAGATATCAGACTCTTACTCGATCATTTTTAAAAATTAAACATTTATGTCAATAACACCTTACAAAATAGACCATCAATTAGACAAACTAGCCACGGGAATATCAAACTATATATATATATATGAAAAAGTAATCAAAATGATCGAACTACCATTTATTGATAAAATAATAGTAAATAAGAATAATTTGTAATTTATTAATTAGGGATCTCGTATATTATTGAAGTACATGGTAGTGAAACTAAAATGAACTGGGAGGGCAAACATAAGTACAATTACAGGAGAAAGTAGGATGAATGCCAGGTGTTCCTCCAGTCTCAGTACATTGACCAAAGCCATTGTGATTTTTTAAACACTCTGCCCTACAAGTCACCAGTTGACAACTCCCTTGTTGTGACAACTCAAAGCATGCTTCGGTCTCAGGTACAACAGTAATAACTGCAATATTACATATTATTAACCAATTGTTTAGAAAATAAAACACTATTAACTACGAGATCAAGGGATAAAGACAACAAACCAGTGAAGAGTAGGGCGATGACGACAACATTAGATAAAGTAAATCTGGTCATGTTTCTGAATATTTTCTTACAAGAAAAGATCTTATGTTTTTGTGTGAAATTGGTTGATGGTTTAGGGGGTATATATACTCTATGCCACGCATGTAGTGATTGAATTACCCTATTCAAGGCTATTAATGAGTCAACCAAGGAAAATCAAAATACCATACGTTACTACCAAAACTTGATTCTCTTTCCATGAAAATCGCATAAAATTTGTTAAATTTCCAACGCTATTAATGTGCCAATTAAATGAGAAGTATGAAACTGAATCATCGAGTTGGTTCAAGTAGTAATCAGCTTGATACCGCTTAAGCAAGGTCTTGGGTTTGAGTCTCACCAAAGTAATGTGTGCAACGGAAATCCGTTCGAATTAGTCAGAATGAAGCCATAGAATCATAAGGGAAACAAAAAGAAAAAGAATTAAGAAACTAAAATAAGTTTAATTTGGAAATAAAAAAGTGAAAATTAATGAAAAAAATCCAAAGTTTAAAATATATACAAACTACACGTCAATAAATGAAATTTAAGAAGTTTTATGCGTTTTTTCATGGAAAGAAAATCAAATTTTGGTAGTAACGTATGTTATTTTGATATTCCTTGATTGTCTCGTTAATAGCTTTGAAAATGGTAATTTCATCACTATATGCATGTGTCACGCCGCCAAACCCTTTAAGTCCAAAATGACACAATATCAGAGTTAAGATATGATGAGACGTGCAGTCTTAGACTCTTCTGGATCTTCTCTGCGACTAAGTAAACCTTACCCAAGCTTCTAGGATGTGGAAGCTTTAAATTATATATTTAATACCTAAACTATCAGTTTTGATCCATTTTAATAATTAAACTTTCATTTTTTTTCAAAACCATACCAAAAGTATAGTTTTTGTTTCATTTTAGTGTTCGTCGTTAAAAACTTTAGTTTTTGTTTCGTTTTAAACCCCCCATTCAAAATTTACTGTTAAATTTTGAAAATATTGAAAGTTTATGTAATAATCGGACCAAAACTAATAGTTTAGGTATTAAACACGTTAAGTTTTTAAAAACGGGTACTAAAAGAAAATAAAACTAAACGTTAGGTATTATTTTGAAAATATTAAAAGTTTAAGTACTCAAACTGATCAAAATTGATAGTTTCTTTTTATTATACGTGAAATGAAAATGCAGACAAAAGGAATAAATTGGAAGGTGCCTACACGTAAAGATGGCAGGGTTTCGTTGCAATCGGATGCCTCCAGCTTGCCTAGCTTTAGGAGCTCCATTGAGTCCCAAAAGCAACAATTTGCTCGCTTTGGTCTAGACACTAAAGATCTTGTAGTCCTTGTTGGTAAGTGATTTTCCGTATACGATTACGATGGATCAGGTTAAGTTGGATTTCTGATCAATATGTTCGATCCGATGAAAATACACGTTACTTAAAAACTTGATATCTGACTTGATATATATATATATATTCGATAATATTGAGGGCACATACCCTTCTTATACCCTTAATATCATTTTCGTTTTTTAAGGACACACAATAGGGACAGCAGCTTGCTTGGTATTCAGCTACAGGCTAAGTGTTGAATATTCAAGCCAATATTGTTGAAAGAAAGCAACATGGGCGGCTAACCACTTTGTTTGAAATAAAAATGGAGAAAATACAATTTTAGTCATTGCACTTTAGGGTATTTTCAAATATTAGTATCTTAGTTTCAATTATAAATATCCTAGCCTATTTAGTTTCAAAATCATCTCAAACCATTTCTTTCTCCCAATTCTAGAGAGTTTTCTTGTGAGTAGTGAGTGTTTTGTAAACACCTGTAAATTTTTCTCTCTTTAGTAAAAGATTTGCAGCAGTCCGGAGACGTAGGCATAATTGGCTGAACTCCGATATCAATTTCGGGTATTATTTTTCCGCTTTTATTTCGCATTCTCACTGATCTGGTTATAGATAAATTACTCGTTCTCGTTTATTTCCCAACAACTGGTATCAGAGCTTTTGGTTGTGAATTTTGTCAATTTTTGCGAGGTTACTATTCATTATTATTCATATGAATAGTGAATTTCATGAATAGTAAAATTTTGTCGTCGATACAAATTTATCGACGGAGGTGTTATAATACACGGTGGTTCGCAAGAATTGTCAGAAACGATCCAAACTAAGCCAGATTCGAGTGGGAGCGATGGCTGCAAACGAAGGGAATGTGAAAATTGAAAAGTTCGATGGTGCGGACTTTGACTTTTGGAAGATGCATATTGAAGATTTTCTGTACCGAAAAAATATATATCAATCTCTCTTAGGAAAACAACCAGAGGGCATGAAGAATGAAGACTGGACTCTTCTCGACAGACAAACCCTTAGAATTATCCGACTGACGTTGTCCCAAAATGTTGCTTTCAACATAGCAAAGGAAAAGACCACGGCGGGTCTTATGGCAACTCTCTCCAGTATGTATGAGAAGCCATCGGCCTCAAACAATGTTCATTTGATGAGGCGATTATTCAATTTACGGATGGCGGAAGGGACATCAGTGACTCAACACCTAAATGAACTCAACACAATCACAACCCAGTTGAGTTCCGTGGAAATTGAATTCGATAATGAAATTCGAGCTTTAATTCTCTTATCATCTCTACCAGACAGTTTGAATGCTACTGTTACAGCAGTTAGCAGCTCGTCGGGAAACAGTAAATTGAAATTCGACGATATTCGGGATTTGGTATTGAGCGAAGAAATTCGACGAAGAGAATCGGGTGAAACATCAACCTCCTCAGCCTTGCACACGGAGTCTAGAGAGAGAACTTCATAAAGAAATTCAAATCGTGGCAGATCCAAATCCAGAAGGGGAAAATCAAGAACGAGAAAGAAAGATTTTACATGTTATAATTGTGGCAAGAATGGTCACTTTAAAAGAGATTGTCAAGCATTGAAGAAAGATATCGGTGCACAGGAAGCCAACATGACAGAGAAGACAGATGATGCCATGATTCTAAGAGTCAACAGTCTGATTGAATCATGTATCTTGGATTTAGGGGCATCTTGGCACTCCACCCCATGCCAAGAAATTATAGAGAACTATGTCGGTGGTGATTTTGAGAAGGTTCATCTAGCTGATGATTAAACCTTGAAGATCGTCGGAAAATGAGACATCCGATTTAAGTTGTCAAACCAGACCACTTGGACGCTGAAAGGAGTGAGACATATTCCTGGTCTCAAAAGAAATTTGATTTCTGTAGAATAGCTTGATGGAGAAAGATATAATACAACTTTTTTCAGGCTGTGAATGGAAGATTACCAAAGGAGCACTCATCATTGCTCGTGGTAAGAAGACTGATACTCTCTATGTAACCTCAAACTTAGAGAATACAACTTTTCTGTAGGATAGCTTGATAGAGAAGGATATAATACAACTTTTTCAGGCTGTGAATGGAAGATTACCAAAGGAGCACTCGTCATTGCTCGTGATAAGAAGATTGATACTCTCTATGTAACCTCAAACTTAGAGAATATCATTGCAGTAACAGATGCTGATGGAAAATCAAACCTATGGCACCAAAGGCTTGGCCATATGAGCGAGAAAGGGATGAAGACACTTTTATCAAAAGGAGAAACTGCCCAATAACAAGTGGGTTTACAGGGCGGTGACTACAGACAAACTGAAGTTGTGTTCAGCTTCAGTTGACATACTAGAATAACAAAACTAGAAATATTGTTGCATTGATCGAGGTGTGAAGACAGATTAAAATCAGTCTTCAAGTGGGAGATTGTTGAATATTCAAGCCAATATTGTTGAAAGGAAACAACATGGGCGGCTAACCAAAATTAGGCGGCCACTTTGTTTGAAATAAAAAAGTGGAAAATGCAATTTTAGTCATTGCACTTTAGGGTATTTTCAAATATTAGTCCCTAAGCTTCAACTATAAATATCCTAGCTCATTTAGCTTCATAATCATCCCAAATTATTTCTTTCTCTCAATACTAGAGAGCTTTCTTGTGAGTAGTGAGTGTTTTGTAAACACCTGTAAATTTTTCTCTCTTTAGAAAAAGATCTGCAGCAGTCCGGAGACGTATGCATAATTGGCTGAACTCCGTTATCAATTTCGGGTATTATTTTTCCGCTTTTATTTCGCATTCTCACTAAACTAGTTATAGGGAAATTACTCGTTCTCGTTTATTTCCCAACACTAAGGTCCGGACACGACAATCAACCGATCATTTCTCCCTCAGCTGCGAACATTTTGTCGGCAAAACGGGAACAACTTCCAGCGTGTCGAATTGGACACCGGTAGTGCCGACAAGTTCGACACATCCTTCTTCACCAACTTGAAGAACGGCCGGGGCGTGCTCAAGTTGGACCAGAAGTTGAGGACCGACCCGTCAACAAGGACCGTCATCCAGCAGTTACTGGGCGAGAAAGCCATTGAACTTTAACAAGGAATTCGCTAGGTCGATGGTGAAGATGAGTAACATAGGTGTGAAGACGGGCAATAATGGTGAAATTCGAAGGATTTGCTCTGCAATTAACTAATTTATTTTGGCATTAAGAATTTTTATAATAAGTTAATGAAAATAAACGTTAAGATAAATTTTATTTATTTATGATCTATTTCAATTCAATTTTAAAATAATCGAAATTTAAAATTATTATTATGTCACAATAGTAAAAATAATTAATAAAATATTAATATTTTTAAATTAAAAAATCTTTAAATTACTCGAAACCAACGACCATTGTACCATTGTCGCTAATAATATATTTTACATTGACCGAGAAAACCCTAACATTTCCCAAGTTAAATTATTAATAAGCATACATACATTTTGATATTCGTACTTGTATTTTATATTAATTGCTAAAATGTGGATATAATATATAAATGTTGTCATATTAATAATAATTATTATAGAGTGTTATTTTGTTGAATCTCTTATTATTAAAAGTTATAAAGTGATATTTGACTATAGGAATTACTTTGTTGAGTTATCGACTATTAAAAATTACAAAATGATCAACTGATTATATGTTCCAAATTTGTTATTTTTCATTAAAAAATTTGACAACAATCTGAGTTGAACATTAATCTATGATTGAGATATGATTAAATTTGATCCCATAATCTCAAACGAATATGATAAAATTTGCTACAATTTTTAGAGGTGATTGGTTCAGATGCGTTTAAATGTAATACATATTCTATAAAAATAATTATTGTTTTATATTTAACTTAATTTTAGTCGTTCATTTATATTTTTTTTATTAATATGAGGTAAATACGAAGATTAAATATAATTTTTAATTATTTAACAATGAATGCTTACACTCCAAATATTTCTAATGCTCGAACGTGGACCTCAAATGTATTTTAATCTCATCTAGAGATGAGCATGTGACCCGAAGCCAATGGGTGCTAATCCGACTATATCATGTAGTTTTTTTAAAAAAAAATAAGTTCCGGTTGGGTTGAGTTTTTTAGAGGTTATGTTCGGATCAGATTTGAATTTAGGGTAAAAAATATCTGATCTGATTTGACCAAAAAAATATATAATCTTATATTATATATTTAGAGATAATTACAATAATTCTCCTATATATATATATATATTTTTAACTAAATCGCTATTTTTATTGAATAAAAATAATATTTTTAATAAATATATTATTTCAAGTCGAATTAGATTCAAATTTTATCTTAAAAATTCGGATCAAATTCAAGTGAGTGAATATTTTTTGAGTCGAATCAAATCAAATGAAAAATATATAATTTTCTAGTTGGATTGAGTTGACCGAACCCGACCGGTTCCATCCCTAATCTCATCCGATTTATTTAATAAGTAAAAGTTAAAATATGAAATAAATTGACTCTAAGAATGACACGTGGTTATATATATATATATATATATATATATATATCAAAGAATTAGTGGATGAATAGAACGGCGAGGAGATCTGATCAGTTTCGGACAACGTGATACGTCAACGTCCCTAAGGCTTGGGGAGGATCAACACGTGTCCCAAAAACACTTGGCAAATACATTTTCTATTACTGCCTACTTCCCGTAGGTTACACTAATTACTTTGTCTTGTTATGTTCATAAATCATTATTTTTAAAATTGAAGAACCGAAAGTTTATTTTGATTAATTTATGAGTAAAAAACGTAAATAGTTCCGATTATAGGATACTACTTTATTAAGTTTATTGAGTATTAAAAGTTATAAAATGGTCTTTCAATTATGGAGTATTTACTTTGTTAAGTCTCTCATTTATTAAAAATTACAAAATGATCATATAACTATTCATTATATTCCAGAATCGTCCTTTTATGTTAAAAAAATGAAAGTTGTTTAAACTGGATGTTAACATGAGTGATGATGGAGATATAATAGTCATTTGAGATTTTAAGATCAAGTTTTATCATATAACAATTAACAAGTTAACATTCAACTCAGAAAATCGTCTATTTTTTAACAGAAAACTACGAGTTTGAAACATGATGAATAATCGAGTGACCATTTTATAACTTTTAATAGTTGAAAAACTTAATAAAACAATATCTTATAGTCGGATGACTATTTACGTTCTTTACCCTTAATTTATTTATTGAATAAATTTAATGTCTATATTTTTTATTTTCGAATTTCTTCATTGGGGCATAAAAAAATTTGCAAAATAAACATCCAATGGCATAGATAGAGAGACCAACAAAACAACATAAATAATACAATGTCCAAAATTTAAGCAACTTGGTTCAAAATTTGCTTTATCTTTTACACTCTTGTGAGCACAAGGGAGGGATTTCCATGCCATTCCGAGAATACAAAAGACTCTACCTCGGGTCGAAGCGCGCCTTCCGGTTTCCGTTTATATATACGACGATTATAGTGGACGGTAGAAAACTACAGTAACAGAGACACAAAACGACAGAGGACGGCTTCTTTTTTGAGAATGTACATCACTTTTTGAGAAGCTTCTTAGAGAGGATCCTCTTCGAATACGGGCTGTTGCGCGATAGTGCTTTATGGGACTCGATTGCTTCGACAAGTGAATTGTGCAGAGATCTCTAACATAAGTGGGAAGGAAAGAGGAGATATGAGACACATTCTGTGATTAGTAAGAGGTTTAGAGTAACATGAAATAAAAGAGGATCTCAAACAAAACAATTTGGTTCGAAAACAAAGTCTTCGAAGTAGGAGCATCAAATTTCGACCTTATCCGTCCCGGTAATCATTTAATCCCCGGTTCCTAACGCTGTCACTATATGTACAAGTATTTGTCTACCATAAAACATCGACGAGTCCAATACCGATGCATATAAATGTTATAAAGGATCATACAAGCCAGACACAAAGATGGGATGCGATTGGCAGATTTGAGTTTTCGTAAATAATTAGAAGAGTTATCGATTCTCATACCTCCGACACATGGAGAGCAGTTTGCACAACATAATTTGCATGTGGATCTTGAAGCAATAGTTCAAAGTGAGTTGTAGAGAGCAATTCGTTGATGATTTTCGATCGGCTCTCGTCATTTAACACCACGAGACATTTTTCAACCACATGGCTGCTGAACTTCTGTGAAGAGAGGTGCACGTAGCTCCCTTCGAATTGAGAAACCAATGTCGAAGTGGCGGATGGAATTTTTAAATCCAAAATAAACTGAACAACATAATTTCTGCAGAATCGAAAACGGAAATCCATGGTTAAAAGAAGTGCATAAAAGGGAAAGCATGTATCAACTTGAATTAGGGGCACTGGCAATATCAAATTCAGAACCAACTAGCAAGTCTCATAACAACAAAGAAAGCTTAAAACACTATCGGGCCAACTAAGGACAAACAATTGGTTTCCAACAACAATACGAGTACTACACCGATACAATGACTAATTCAGCATGACACCATACGAGTCCATGACACAAAACAAGCCATTAGTTTACTTTCCGAAACAAAACTTTGCCATCACCACTTATTAGTATCACAGAAGGGCCAAATATAGAAGATCCAACACAATCAAATATGCAAAGAGTTACGGCTTACTGTACCTTTTCTGCATCATCAGTCAACCAGAAAGCTTGGTTACTCAGTAAACCAGAAA